TCATGTAATCAGTCCTGAGTTCCACACAGGAAACATCTTAAGGAAACTTACCCTCCTTCACTCTCTGCTTCCTCCGAACTATTGCTCCTTGCTGCTGCACTTTGACCTGTGGCCACTCTTCTCTTTCTAGCACGATGCTGAGGACTCGCCCGGTGAACAGCCACCTTCCTCCCAAGTTCACTTCGAACACATCCTTCCAGCTTTGAAATGGCTTCTCTAAGAAATCTTATTTCCTCTTTGAGTTCTTCCAGATTTATTAGTAATTCATTCAACTTCTCCAGTGTCTGACGTTGACTGCCTTGGAAGACGACTGCTGGGCCATGGCCATTACATAGTTCATCTTGTGATGTCATTGAATCCAAGAGACTGTCCCACGAAAGAAGTTTCGGTAAGTTCACTGCTATCCTGGGTTTGCGGATCTTGTGGTACCACAAAAGAAGCAAGCTGACACTAGTCGTCCCCACCATGATGCCAAGAATCAGTCCTGTGTTTATGGAGTGAGGCATTTCTTGATTTTTGTTTCTAAAGTTTAAAACATAAAATGTAAGTCGTTGCCCAAGAAAAATATCAGTGCTCTTTCAATCAACAAAAGCAAGTCTATGTCAACAAAAAGCACTCAACAAATGATACATGAAAATGAGTAATTCCTTCTATAATGTATGTGAATCTAATGGAAATTATTACTTTAAGAACATCATTGATGTCTAATATACAGTAGTGTCTATCATTCAAAATTTGTATTCCGAACGCTTTATTTGAAATTTACCCATCACTGTCTATCTTAAAAGGGTTTAATAGAGAAAGCAGTGTTACAAGTTCATGAGAAAATGATCCAAGAATCCAAATTATTCTTAACAACCCAAACCTTTTACATATGTAAAATCATTGTGTTGATTGCCCTCATCTAGTGCTCAAATTAAGCCAAGTAGGAGCATATTCTTAGAAATTAGTTCATGTTAGAACTTACATTTATAGTAGTGAAACATTTTCTTAAACTCTAGCGCTTGGAAAGGTCCAAGTATACTACTCTGTAATCGACTCCATCTCTGTTATGTGATATGGAAGGCAGAAACGCTGACCGACATTCAAGTTCATTCCTTTTCTTCTTCTGACCCAGAACTCCTCTGCTCTCTATAGTCTATTTATGTCTGCAGCCTCAATATTCTTGTTTTCTTTCAGTAGACTATTTATCGTGCATTCATGCAGCTGACTTTGGACCTCTGCACTCAGCAGCCTGTGCCCCTGCTGTCTCGGCTTTTTCTTCCTGCTTCCTGCTTTTCAGTCAGGGGAAGTTTGACTTGAACCGGACTAGACTTACTTATTTCTACAATGGTGTAGGCCACTTCTTGAAATAAACCTCTTTCTATATACAACACATTAAAGTGTCACTGGTTTCCCTTCTCCAGGAAACCTAACTTAACAAACTTGTCAAATATTTCACTTTACATAGATCCACAATCAGAGCCCATAGAAGCAGAGGTCAAGACATCAGATTACCTATGGGATTGGCAAGTCTGCTACCAAACACCTGGTAAGTGTTAGAAAGCAAAGATGCCACGTCAAGGACTGAGGAACACTTGACCCAAGCCCAAGGAGCCCTGGTGGCACTTTGAGTTAAACACTGGGCTGCTAACCTAAAAGCGGGCAGTTCAAACCCACCAGACACTCCCTAGGAAAAAGATAAGGCTGTCTGTTCTAGAAACCATTACAGTTTGACAAACCCTGTAAAGTAGTCCTACTCCGTCCTGTCGATTTGCTATGAGTTGGAATCAACTCAGTGGTAGCGTGTGGGACCCAAGCCCTGGGATTTTTAATTACTTCACCTACATGTGAAAGCTGGGCAATGAATAAGGAAGACCAAAGACAAATTGATGCCTTTGAATTACGGTGCGGGAGAATAATTTTTACACGATGAATGAGCTAAACAAAAATACTAGAAGATAAAGACTTGAAGGCAAATAAGCAGCCATCTAGCTCAGAAGCAACAAAGCCCACGTGGAAGAAGCACACCAGCCTGTGTGATCACGAGGTGTCGAAGG